TCCTGCTGAGAAGAGCAAAACCATCCAGGCACCTTTTGCTCTTTAAAAAAAAAAAAACAAAAAACAAAAACCAAAACAAAACAAACCCCAAAAAATCCAAAACCACCTCCTAGCTATCCAGTGATTGCGGTTTTCAGATCACCACCCTTTCAAATTTGTTAAGAATAAGAGAAAATAATGTAGTGTTTTAAATAAAAATTAAAAAAAAAAAAAAGAAAACCTGCATCAGACTACGATACATTAATTGTTTTAAACAAACACAGTGCACAATTGAAGGAAGTTTGGTTAGGACACAGTTGTTTTTATATATATACATGGAAGTCACATCATATACAAACTGAAAAACAAAGAGTTAGTTTGCATTTTTCATGGAAGGACTATAAATGGGTCCCTGCAGCTTTCTTCAAAAAAAACTGATCTTGAAAAGACTTTGTGGAGTGGAAAAAAAAAAAAAAAAAAAAAGCAGCCACACTAAATCACTGTTCCAAAGTTTACAGCATGTGTGCTAGCCCACTGAAACGATGTCTGAGTTGCGGGATTAAAACACGAGGAGAAAAGACGGGACAGCCACTGCCCATCTAATGCCCCCAGGGCTTCTCCTTACCATGGTGCGGACGGGCTCCATGTGCCGTTCCCTCCCTTCTACCCCCAGAGAAAAAAAATCAGTCACTAGAAGCACAATGTACATTTTTCTGGCCATGCAATACGCTTTATGTTCAATGTTTTAGCTTGAAATTGGAATATCGATCCCTTAACTAGTTGTTCTTTAAAGTGCAGTCGTAACTGTTTATTAAAGAAAAAAATGTTTGTTACTCACTATACCACCACTGCTGGCTTGTTGTTTATTTTTTTCCCGTTTACGTGACAACATAGGTAATTTTATTTATTTCTTTCTTTTTGCCCACAGATAGAAATTACTGAAAGCCAAATAAACTTCAAAACCAGCCAACACAAATCCAAACAAAACTTCCCTGACTACACCCTGTTCAGCCTTAAACAGAAAAAAAAAAAAAAAATCTGATGATAGAGAGCTGTCCAAAATTCCCACTAGAACCATTCTGAGTACAAAGGAACGTTTTAATTGCACAATAGACATTTAAAGTGAATATCAACTTGTTAAAGGCTAATCTTTGGTTTTTGCCTTGAGAAAGGCTCCAAAATGACAGATGAGGGGCAGGAATTTCCAGATAGGCAACAGAAACTACAGCCCACTTAAATAAGTAGTTCCACTGATTTTGGTAAATATTCCGGTAGAAAGCATTTCCTGGATCATACCCTAAAAATAATTCTAAAAATAGGATAAGAGACATGACGTAAAGCCAGGAAAATGGTGCAGATCTAGCTTTAGGGAAAAAAAAAAAACAAATCACAACCTAAGGCCCTGATCCTGCACCATCTTTTAGGACAGAGTTTTAAGCACTTGAATGGCCCCAAGAATTTCAGCGAACTGTCCCAGATGAACATAACACAGCTGCTAAAGTGCTTTGCAAGGGGCTTTGCAAGGTTTAGGTTTGTTCTTTTCTTTTTTTCTCTTTTTTCTTTTTTTTTTTTTTGAGATGGTCAATGAAGCAAATAAGCAACAGTAGAAATGAGGACCACGAGCAAAATGTTTCATTTCTCTCCTACTCCAGGCAAGACCTGGATATAGGTAAAAAAGTTCAGCTGTCTTGGAAAAGGAGAGGGATGCTGGGCCTTTTTTATTACTTTTCTTTTTCCTTGTGCTTTTGCAATTATCAGCTGCTACTAAGTCACTGCTATAACTATTTTTAAACCGTAAGAAGCTCAGTGAAACACAGTAGTCAAGTAGACAGAAGACTCAGCACTGAAAAAGAGTGTAAACTATAAATTATCTTGAAAATAAAAAAAAATCCTTTTAATTACAAGCTGTTCAGTGCACACGTTACGGGCCGTTTGTATTAAAGACAGTCCCTCCTGCTGGTAATAAAACCAAATCAGCTTGGGTAGAAATACTCTTGGCCCAATTTTCGGAAGTGTTGAATACCCCCAGTTCCACTGGAATCAGTGAGGACACAGCATTTCTCCAAAATCACTGATGCTCACACAGCAAAACACTAACTCCTACTAACAAACTCAATATACCGATAAATTTAAAAAATGTTCTGAAGGTGGGAAAGGGTGGGAGGACGTCAGTTTGCACACAGTTGTTTCTTCAGATTAACGCACACACGAGTTAGTAACTGTAGATGTGTTTTAAAATTTGGTGCTATTGGGGTTTTAATTCTGGGAGGAATCCTCCTTTGAGAAGACAAAACCATTTGAAATGATAATGAAATTATACCACAATTCTTACGGAAATGAAAATCTTCAAGAATTGGAATTTCCTAACGCCAGGGCTTCTTAAAGCTGAAGCTTTGACAATGAACTTCTGTGCCACGAAAGGGAAGAAGGGGTGGGGGACACAAACACAGCGACACCGCATTACAGTAGATATTTGCGTCTGGTATCCTCATCCATAGTGAGGTCTACTACTTCTGGGGGCGAAGACCAATTCTGCTGGGGAGTGACAGCTGTCCATGATTGTGTTTGCTGAGTATTGATGTACTGTGAGCCTGAGCCATGCTTCCAGGAAGACACACTCTGAATCACACCTCCCCTGGGATGCACACACCTGTAGCAAGGCAAAAAAACAAAAAACAAAAAACAAAAGATTAAAGCCACTATTGAATCCAGGCAAAAGATTCTTAGCTCCAGTGGTTTATCACTTAGACATCTTATTAACATTTCCATCTCCAAAATGTCCTTGTGGATTTTCCACTTGTAGAGTCCATGACATCTTAAATACCCAGTAAACAAAGCTGAGACTAAACTTTAAATTTAAACTTCTTTGTTTAAATGATTAAATTATTTTTAAGAACTGAATTCTGCCAGTGGGTGTAAAATGTGTGTATTTTTATGCACATACCCACAGATCCCAAGGATCTTGAAGAAGTCTGCCCCATCATGGGTAGTACCACACATTATATTCAGAACCGTAGTTTCCTGCTAGTTGTTTTACCCACTGGACTTTTCAAAAGACAAAAAATTTAAGCGAGGCTTGATGAGACCAAGAGAAAAACTGTCGTTCTATATGAAATCAAAGCCATGTTCAAATAAGGACATGATGATACTTTCAGTACAATAATTACAAGAGACATCCTCTAATTACATCACTACAGCCATTACACTTGATCTTTCTTTGGTCGTCTTAACTGAAAATTACAAACATGCTGGGAAGTGCTCGCTGATAACAGTACAGCCCCACTTAAGCAAAAAAATTAAGCTTTCAGTGATTACAGTCAATGAGACTAAATAATGTATTTAAAGACAAGCACGTACTCAAGTGGCTTGCTGAAGTGAGGTACATATCGAGTTATTTGCACAGTATTTTTACCTATTACACTTACAACAGATATGTGACAATTTAAGTACAAGGTCGCCCAGAGCAGCTGTGGATGCCCCATCCCTGGAGGGGTTCAAGGCCAGGCTGGATGAGGCTTTGAGCAACGTGGGCTGGTGGGAGGTGTCCCTGCCCATGGCAGGGGGGTGGAACTAGATGACCTTTAAAGGTCCCTTCCAACCCAAACCATTCTGTGATTCTATTATTTGTTTTAATTTAAGGTAGTGCAATTTATTTGCTCTAGAAATACTTAGGTTATGCTCATCTCTCTTTGCTCTGCTTTAGAGTTTCATGAAACAGAATGGAAAATCTCATTCTCCAAGCTCTAACTTCTCTGAATATAAATGTCTCTTTTATTCTCAGATACACTATTTAGTTTCGGATGAGATGTTCAGAATTACTTTCTTATTACTTCTTCAGTCTTAAAAATACATACTTTATGTATCTAAAAGAATCAGGAGTAAGAGACTGGAACTCTAACAGCTGTAGGAGTTTTTTTTTTTCAAATCTTTCTTTTAAGAAGAAATATTTTTAAGCATAACTGACGTGAAAAGTTAGTAGCCAAAAAAAACTAAATATGATGTTCGATCTGAGGGACTATGGTCCATCATTCTGACACAGAACAGTTCTCAATGCTTAGACAAATCTAATACTAACTTTTCTCCCTGAAGACGACACAAAGCAAGCTATAAATTATCTCATAGAAATGATACCTGGCAAAAATAAAGTGTTTATCTTCAAACAAGTCACACAGCCAGCCAACAGCCAAATATTCAATCAAACCTTAGCCTAGGGAACATGCTTTCCAATCTGGAACTAAGGGAAGATACCAAGTAAAGGCAACCAAAAAAGAAGGGGGGGAAAAAAAAAACCCTTGTAAAAAAAATCAGAGGAAGATTGTTTCATACACGTACATGATAAAAAAAATAAAAATTTTACTGGAAAAAAATTAAACAGAAAAACATGACTTTGGTGCCCTAAGTAGATGCCAAGTAATATTCCAAGGATGAGAAACGCCACCAAGTCACTAGTGATCTGAAAACTAAGAACGATGGACAAACTCTAGGGTGTCACATCATGCCAGTCCAACGATGACATGGAACATGGAGCACGATAAAAAACAGTGTGAGTGAAAGAACGGAATCCAAACACCATACTAACCAAGCATGCAAAAAATACTGATCAAAAACCTAACCCTTTTCCAAACGACAACCCTGTCAGAAGCCCATCAATACTTCATAACTGCAAGCCTAGACCTGCAAAAGAAATAAAATTCTAAATAGGATTTGAACAACTGAAATGTGCGAATATTCAACGGAGCCAGTAAGAACTAGTCTTCAAGAGATGGCAGATAAACTGATTTTAAACAGCAGCTCTGCATTTACTTAGCATTTCCACTCTTCTACACGGTAAATATTATTGAGGCAAGCAGCATGGAAAGCTTTTGAACAGGGAACCTCAAGGAGAAGTGTTGTCTGTACATAGTGCTAGATGAATTTACACGAATTAGTATTGGAGGACAAGTCCACGCTGCTTATCATCAGGATAAAGATCCTCTAAGCCCTAGGTCTGCTGGATAAACAGCCAGGAGAGCTACTTCCTAAGGAATTAGGATCTTCCAAGAGTTAGCCATGCAAAGACTTCCACTATTCTAAAAGCAAAGACTAAAGGAAAGATCACAGACTAAAGATGAAGAGTACCATCAAAAATTGCCTATCCAGAATAACAGCTGAAGCACAGCTGGACAGTTTTCTATCAGAGCTTGAGAGAAACCTCTGGCTTCCTTGCCCTCATCTGCTTTGGGGGTTTGAACTCTCTTGTATCTTGAAATAAAACCAAGATTCATAAGGATCCGATTTTTAGTCTACAGAGGCTATCTTACGGCATTAGTCATTGAAAAGTTGGTAGTATTTTTACAACTACTGATTAATTAAATAAACTGGAAGCTGATTAAAGGCATAAAGTTATTAATTTGAAAGAAAACAACCACCCATAATTTTTTTAATGTCTTTGCATATTCATACTATGCCCTTAAAATCTGAGTTCCTAACAAATGTTCCTGATGTGTTGTAAGAGTCGGTTAGAAAATCAGCTTGTCTCAACCTTGTCATTAAGGACATGACATGCCCAGTTAGACTATAGGGTCCTTTCCTATGGATTTGATCCAGCCTGGGAGCAAGACTCATCTCGACAGGCCTGTTGCAGCAAAGTTACAATATCATGATAAAATCTCCAGGGTAAAATAAAACACAATTGCCACTTTCTGAGACAAAGGCGCGGCTGGCGTGCAAAGAACTTGTTTCCCCGGCAACGCACCCTGGTACTGGTACAAGATGGATTGGTGGGGGACGGAGTGAAACGGTCTCATTCCATGGCCCTGCCCTGTCCAAGACTATCTGTACCTCTGTAAGGACGGGAACAATGAGCTGCAGGTGCCACGGCTAGCCAACCAGAAAGATGGCAGACACCGTGCCAAGCACTGTGACGAAATCTTTACCCTGAGGAGAACTTTGCTTGTTATAATGTCATTATAATACCAAAACACACTTCTATCCCAAAGGCTACCCGCCTCCGAGGCAGAGGAGGAGCAAGGTGTGTAGTTTAGCATAAAAGGTCATCCCCTTCAACCTAAAGTTGAAGCCTTCCCCACCAAGGATCGACGACAATCGATCGTTAGGACTGGCGGGATGCTGCTGGCTCCGGGCCAGGGGGACGCCTTGGACCCGCGGTGGTAGCTATATTCCTCTTTTCCTCTTTTTACTTACTTTTCACTCCCTTTATCTATCGCACGTCGCTTACGGACACAATAAAGTTTTTGCTGTTTAGCTGAAGCTAACCCCTTTTGGCGTGGTCGCCTTAATTTTGCACTTAGAGATCTCAGCAAAGAACCATCACGAGTCCTTAGTGGACCGTGACATGTGTATAAATCTGTATCTCAGTATTTGGTATTTTAATACTACATGTTTTGCCTCTTAATGTTTGATATCAAATCACAAGCTTAATCTGAATACAGATGAAGTTGATAATGTTCTAAAGAAAAACACATTCTGACATTGCTGTGACCAGTAGAATAGAAAAAACAAGTGCAATATTTGCTATCTTTTGGGCATCAGTCGTGGATGGATAACTACAGAAGTGGAAGTCAACAGGTTTTTTTTTCTTTATTATTTTTGGCAATACAGATATTCTGATAAAAAATGAGAGATCTATTAGAAGTGAAAAAAGCAAGAAAAAGGACTTCATACCTGGCATGTTCCTGAACTCCAACAATCTCTACTTCACTATCAGAAGAGGCGATATTAATTTCTTCATTGATCTGGGCATTACCAGGAGAGGTTTTGCCACTTGCAAGGAAGCCTGGATCCAAATGACCTATAGATGGAGGAAATGCAAATACAGCCAAAGTTTAGCAGCTTACACAACTCAGAAATTAGCTGGAAAAGGAATTTCCCAAGCTAACAAAAAAAAGACTGAAATACTGAGATCAGAAAATCAAGATCAAGTCACCCAACTTTAAGTACATCCCCTGGTAGAGGATGATCACTGGATGATCAGTCAATGGTACTGTGGCAAAAAAAGCCTAAAGGCTGGAGAGAAACATCACACACAACAAGGAAAATTAATTTAGGTGTTTTTTTTGGTTGTTTTTTTTTTTTTTTTTAATAGGGGAAGCTACAAAAAAAAAAAAAACCAACAACAAAAACAAACCCATCAGGTTCTGGTCACACTGATTCACACATCTGCTCCAACTTTATTACAAATACTTGAAAAAAAAAATTGTTTTTCCTAAGTTTCATTTACAACACTTGTTTTTTTTTATTACAGTTCCTCAACACTATCCAGTTCATCAGTCTGTCAAACAACAAGTCCTCTGTAAATACTCACAATGAGCGTGTCAGGTTTTATCTTTTCTGCCAAGTACTGCTGAGAAGGTTCTTCACTGGAATTAGTGAAGCTCTGTTGTGACTTATTAAGTAACACTTGCATGGAAAAACACAAGACAGCCCATATAATTATTTGTTTTACAGAAAATACATTATTTTTTAAAAAATCAATTAAAAAATAAGATTTTGATAAAAAGAGGCAACTTCTACATTTTTTTTCTCCCTTAAAAAAAAAAAATTATTTCCACTATCCCTCTTTGGCAGGAACCTGAGCGGCCCCGAAGCAGATGAGACCACCTACTTCTTGGAAACCACTCACTCAGCTGTATTACACAGAGGAAGAATCATTTGTCGAGCAGGAAATTTGAGATTAGAGGAATATATTATGTAGATCTAGTTTGACTGGACACCTCTTCAAAGACGAGAAGAGGGGGATGCAATAATGATTCACAGAATTTCAAAGGTGTGTGAACATGCAGAACTGATTATACCCCTGGGTAGATCAAGAGGACATAAAAAGAAGAAATTAAACTTAAAACGAGTGCCAGGGAAACCTTCTAATGTACTTAAAGTACTTGGAAGAGATGCAAATACAGGGGCAGAGACTATACTGTATGTTCAGTTTTTGGAAAGTGAAGACCCTTAGCAAGGGAAGGAAACCCAGGTGCTGCCATGCGCCCGAAGGAGGAGTTTCAACCTCAGAAGACAAAAAAGGATTTGTCAGCTGAGCTCCAAATGAATTAATAGCCCAGGCAGGCTTTTCCTAATGTTACAGTTCAGCTGAATATTTCCTGGCCAAAATATCACTGACTGCCACAAACTCCCAAAATGGGTCACGGGCATTTCTTTAATCGAAGTGGCTGGGCACACTGTGAAACATGAAATGGAAGTACTCAGAGGCTTTGATTCATGGGCTGGCGATGCAAACTGGGAGACTGATGTGGTCACCACCCTAGTGATTTGCACCGTCCCACTCCTGAACATCGCTGCTGCTATAGCTCAGGCAGAATCACAGAATGGTTTGGGTTGGAAGGGACTGAAAAGGCCACTGAGTTCCCACCCCCTGCCATGGGCAGGGACACCTCCCAAT